CTTTGTGGCTTCTCTGCTGCACCAGGAATCGCAAATCAGTTGCCATGGCAGCGGTAACTGACAGCACTTACTGGGAGTGTGAAGTCAATGATGAAACTGTCTGGATGCAGAGGCTGTGATGCCTAACCCGCACTCCAAGAGACAAGGGATGGGTTTCGCTGTCGCTGCCTGTGTCTCATTAGTTTTTCTTGATTTTTTTCCCCACTTATTTTCCGCACTTACTTTCATGACACAATACCCTTTAGTGTTGATTTTTTGTTTTGTTTTGTTTTTTGCAATAAGCACACCAAAAAGGAAACAGTAAAGCAGTATTCTCAAAGCTCACAATCTAATTATCATCAGATTTACAACCAAGACATGCAAACCCAAGTAAATTTGCATGCTTATACAACAAAATCCCTCGGAGTTTTGCTCAGCATCTCAGTGTTAAGGTTTTATTGTGGTACCCAAGCCTCAAAATACTGGTTTTGCGCAATATATTTTTAAATGCTAGTATAGTAAATATGCTTGTACTGTAAGTACTGGTAGCTACTTGTATTTTATCTGTGTAGAATTAAGCTTGAATCGGTATTATGTGTTTAATAACTTAAAATAACAAATAATGGACTGTTATTTAATAACTTTTGACTGGTTTTATATTTCTTAAGTGAATTTAAAAGATTTAAAAGCTTTAATTCTTAAATTCTTAAAATTAAATTTGTATGCAAATATAAATTGGGGCTTTACATATAGTGACAAAAATAAGTTTGTAAATTTCTTCATTGATTGCTCATAAAATGTATGGGACTGTGCTTTTTTCGCAGTTCCAACAAAAAGTATTAATACTAACGCGTTAGCTTTCATTTAATGTTAGTGCCACTTGAAAAATTTGGGTAAAAATAGCAGTAAAGTCACCCATTTCTGCCCATTTCTCCTTTGTGTTTTTGGTCTTGACTGTGTTTTGGTGTTTTATGTAAGGTTTCTCAGCTCAGTTAATTTAGCTCATTGTCAGGACCCCATGCTGTACTGGAGCCGGCCAGTGCCATAGGCAAGAACAGCTTCCAGTGTGCCTTAAAAAACCACAAATATGCTTATTTTCTAGTGGGGTTGGACTCCTGTAAGGTACATGTAGTTCTCTTTTCTTTTCTGCAAACTGGCTTTGTACTTTGTCTTTGTTGTCGGAGCCTAGAATGTTCACTCTGAAGTTATCTGCACCTGGTTATTACTATGTGGCTTTGGTTTGGTCTGTATGGTGTGTTGGTGTGCCATTTTACTGGTTCAGTATTAATCACAATTCATGGTTTTGTCTTCAAGTGAACCAAAATATGTTTTCGCTGTTCTTTTTATCCAGCTTCTATAATTCATTTACTTTGTCTGTCCACACAGTATCACCACTAAACTGGAGCGAGCTCTGGAGAAGGTGGCTCCATTACTGAGAGAGATCTTTGTGGACTTTGCACCTTTCCTCTCTCGTACACTGCTGGGCAGTCATGGGCAGGAGCTGCTCATTGAAGGTACTGATGCTGAGCTCTTCATCTCTCTTTGTCTTTCTCTTTTGCGCATCCTTGTGTATTACATGATCATGCTGATACAGGAGGGTGTAGGCTGAAGATACATTTGATTGATTTTATGTTTCTTACCTGAATAACCTTTTGTTTTAAAAAGTTTGTGCGTTTATAGAATATATATCAATGCATATACACTCATATCAATGTTTTTGTATGCACTTCAGAACTCAGCATCAAGGGACATGCATGCAAAATGAAATAAACTTAGAGAATAAATACACATATAATGTATTGGTTTATTTGGTATGTATATACTGATGCAAAAGTTTGGCATCAGTTAGATTTTGAAAGAAATTAATACAGTTTTTGAAAGTAATACTTTATAATACCAAGTAATACTGAATAATACTTTTATTTAGCAAGAATGCATTCAATTGATCAAAAGTGACAGTAAAGACATTTTTTATGTTACAAAAGTTTTCCATTTCAAATAAATGTTTTTTTTTTTAAATCTTTCTATTCATTAAGAATCCTGATAAAAATGCATCACAGTTTTGACAAAAATATTCATCAGAGCTGCTGTTTTCAACATTGATCATTTTTTTATTAAAATAATTTCTCAAGGAATATGTGAAGACTGGAGGTTGCTGCTGAAAATGCAGCTTTGCCATCCCAGGAATAAATTACTTATAAATATAAATAAATATCTTAATATCTTAGAAAACAATTATTTTAAATTGTAATAATATTCCACAATATATGTAAATGCAGATTTGGTGAGCAAAAAGAACAATATATAATTAATATTAATATTAATAAGTGTATATATTATTTATTTATTTTTGTTTGTTGGTGCATGGTTGTGTTTTCTCCTTTTTTTCCTAATCTTTGAGGTGCATAGAGCTACTTTTGGAATTCACTTCCCTTCTCTAGCTGGGTGCGATGGGCCACACACACATACTTGCACACGCTTTTTCTCTCACATGGCAAGGCAACCTCTCTTTGAACAGGAACCCACACTCCAGGCTCTGTTTTGTGGCTTTTTTACCTTTCAGCCTCAGTGCCAAATCATAGTGTACGTCCACCTCACAGCTCAAAGCCAGTTTGTTCCGACTAATGTAGCTCCACATTACGGCACGCTGGAAATATGCGTGTCTACAGCTCAGGCAGCCATTTCATGAAAGAAATACTCAGAAACACGTTCTGCCCTGGATTCAAACTCCCCTTTTTTTTATGAAAAATAACAGCCAGTTTTCTGTCTTTAACTTTGTAGTCGTACTTAATCCTGTCCACATTAGGAAGCATCACAGTTTAGGTTGCCTGCTGAAAACAGGCGCAAGGTGACAATTTCATGACTTTACTAGTGAAATCTAGTCATTCGAGTCAATGTTTTGCTCTGAGATGGTGTAGTTTCAGACTGTACCAGAAGGGGCAAACTAGACCTTGCTAAACCTGTCAAACCTTGACCCCATGGTTTTGTAAGATTTAATTTCCCTAAACAAATTCGGGGTGATTACTAGGGCATCACTATGAGGTTTCAAAAGTGTGCTTGGTGTTTTTAGCTCATTGCTATGTGGTTTGAAGGGTGTTGTAGGTAGTTGCTAGAGCCTAAACAAATTTAAAGAAATAGTTCACCCAAAAATGAAAATTGTGTCATTATTTACTCACCCTCATGTCCTTCCAAACCTATTTGACTTTATTTTTTTCTGTGAAACATAAAAGAAGACATTTTAAAATATATATTTTTAAATGTAACATAAATGTAAATTTACATTTATGCATCAGGAAATGCTTTCTTCCAAAGTTTTTCTCCACTGCCTGGGATTCAAAATATTTGACCTTGGTTTTGCTAGCACCATGCTCTATGTAGATATACACAGTATATTTTTAAAATGCCATTTACCAAAGATATATTTTAAGAGTAGAAATATATTTTCTTGCTCATTTAACTTTATTTTGAGATTTACATTATTAAATATATAAAAAATAAATATTTTATTAAAATTTTTTTTTATTTATAATAAAAATTGAGGATTGTATTATTATTTATTTTTCATTTTTATATAATATTTCTTATATTATTTTATATAATATAATAAATATTTAGTACATTATATATATATATATATATATATATATGTGTGTGTGTGTGTGTGTATGTATATATATATATATATATATATATATATATTTATATATGTGTGTGTGTGTGTGTGTGTAAAAATTACATTATTAATTTTTCCAACTTGAAATGCCGTTGACTGTGCTTGTGCATTGCCTTTGCCATTGCCATCCTCCCCAAACGAACCCCAATCCTGAACACACAACAGCGACTTCCTCATAGATGACTCTTTACCCTCGCATTAATTTGTCCAGTATGTTAACACAATCCCATGACCAGAAGAAGTGATGTCTGTTTTCCCACCTCCTTCCCTTCCTCTCTTCCTCAACCTCTCACAGCTGAAATACTGTTCACTTGGTGCAAAGGCGCCCTATTTACCCATAATTACCCTTCATCCATCACTCGGCCCGGCACTAGGGGTCAAGCCCCTGCCCGGCCTCCATCCAGACACTCGTTCACTGGGGGCAATTATGCCCCGCTCGCCCTCGGACAGCCTCCCGACACTTGGAGTTTGAGTGCAAGGCTCCTGGGCGGAACACTGCACTTCTTGTGAGAGCTGGCCGCCCAACTCTGCGATGCTTCAGCCCTTTGACAATGTCACATTCACACCAGTGAGGCTTAACTGGAAAGCGCTGCAACTTGCTGTTTAAATAGAATGCATTTAGTTTGTCCAGCAGCGTGATCCAGAGGTCAGGCCTGCCACCTGATTGAAGAGAGGGACCCCGGTGGGGAATCGCTGTGTGTACGGCCCCATCTCACCCTCATAAATGAGACAGAGAGATTGTTGGGACTTGAACTCTTGGCCTCTGAAATATTACGGTCATAACTTCACGGACTGAATGGTTTAGGAGCGATCATTCATGGTGAAAGGATGTTTAAGTGGGTAACAAGACAAGTGGTGCTGTCAGACAAAAGTGAGCTAAATGTAAAGCTCAATGTACAGGACTGTTTTTACCACAGATTGTATGTGTACAAATTTAATTAATGGGATTTACAGTTTTGATTTAAAAATGTAGAATGTCTGAAGAAAATGAGTACTTTTCTGTGCAAAATTATCTGCCATGATTCTGGAGTGGTTGCCATGACATAGATATGATGTTGCTAAGGTGTTCAGGGTGTTTTTTATTACATTACTATTTTGTACAATTCCTGCCGGTACTGAGAATCGAACCTGCGATCTTCAGGTTACATGTCCGACTCTCTAACCATTAGGCCACAACTGCCCCACTTCCTTTCACCCCTAAACTAAGAACGAAAAAAAACTTTGCCGTGAATATATCAGGGCCTTTACACATGACAGAATTTTTTGTTTGTAGTTTTGTAAAACTTTCCCACACTGTACTGGTTCGGCTTTGTTTGCATGTCCCATAAGTGTGTCGTCTTCTATTGGATTATAGCCGGGAGGCTGAATTACAGTCTTGCGCTACAGCGCCACACTGGTCAAACCGTGTTATTGCAGGCCCTTACATCATATGAGATCAAACAACTAGCCTATTTGATAACCCATTTTTCTGCTTTATTGTCCACCAAATGAAAAACGTAAGCCCAACCTGTTAGAAAATTAACAGCACACATCTTCTCATCAACCCACACAAATGAAGCTATAATTTACGCAGGACTAGTTACATGGCAAAGTTTAATACTTAGGTGGAGTTAGGTATTTGTTCCAATGCCTAACCCTAAATATGGGCATTAGTAATAATAATGCAATAATAAATACTCTTCCATCACTTCCATGGAGTCTCATTACACCATATTCATGCTGAGAGCACTCTCTCTCTCTCTCTCTCTCTCTCTCTCTCTCTCTCATCTTTCTCTCATTAGAGTCCTGTCTCTCTGACTCTGCTGGCTCATGCAAACAAGGACATCAGCTATGTGCTGTGTTTGTATGTTAATGCAGGTGTGCGTATGTGAGTGTGTGTGATGGAGAAAGTTTGTCTTATATGGCTGTCAAAAACTGCACATATCATTTACAATTACCTTGTTTATCAGTGAGGTTAACCAACTGTCTTTTATATTCAATGAACAACAGGCTTTTCATTTAAAACTGCATATTTTACTCAAACGACATCTGATTTCAAGAGAATGGTGCCTGTATGAGGAAAAAAAGATGTGACTATATTCACTCCTGTATTTAAATTCATGCCCATACATTTTTTTTTTTAGAAGATGCATTGTTGTATCTTTATAAGTGGCGTCCTTATTCTAGCCAGGTTTGAGAAATATGCAACCGAGGCCATTGATCTCACACTGGCTTGCAGCAGATGATCTTTGACCTCTCAGGAGACACTATTAGTGACCCCGCGAGCTGTTAGCTATCTGAGTCATAACGCACAGACGACAAGAGACGTTCAGTCTCAAATTCAAAACATAACTCATCAGAACTGTCCTGGATGCTTGTGTGACATTAAATGGTTGGGACTGTTCCGTTCATCTGCACCATACACTTTTCTGAGGCCATGTGGACGGCCGGCCCTTGACTAACCGTCGCAGATGTAGTTATGATAGGTCAAAACAAATGTAAAAACAAACAACCTGTAAGGTTTGTTTTGCTTTTGTGTGTGTTTATGAATATGATGAAGCAGAATGATTAATTTCTGTGTCTTTTTTTCTTTCTGTTCTCTTCTAGGTCTGGTGTGCATGAAGTCAAGCACCTCGGTAGTGGAACTAGTTATGTTGCTATGCTCTCAGGTGAGTTGTCACTCTTTTTCTGTTTTATTTATCTATCTAATGTTGTCTTCCAGCATGACACATTGTCTATTGTTAATGGTCACAGCGAGCTGCTTAAATATTTGTCTGGATGACAGAAAGCAATACACAAACATGACTGGTCATTAACACATTCATTTCTCAAAGCCAACCTTAACTGAGTGTGTCAAACTGCTCAGCTTGTGATGTTAACTGATATAGTTACAAATTTATCTCTTAAAAGTCTGACATATGAAATATTAGTCTGACAAATCTTATTTTATGAAATGAAACGGTTAATTGAACCTTTAGATTAAAAAAAAAATGTTTTAGGTTGAGTATTATATTTGATACTTCGGGCTTATATTGCTCATATAGCATGATATAGTGAAGATATGGAGCTCACATTCAAGGAATTTTAACATGACTTTTCTAAAAATAATGGATAATTAAGTAAACCTAAGTAGCTTCAGTCCAGTAAGGGTTAGGTAAGGGTTTTTTTAAAAAGATAGCAATATAAAAGTTTTTCTTACATATAATTTATAAAAATCATTAAAGATTGGCTTTGTATAAAGGCCTTGTATTTATTAAAAAATATGAATTATCAATCAGAGGACAGAAGGCATGTACAGTAGTAGATTTTGTACAAAATCTTTTTCTGCAAAGACAGTAGGCATTATAGGGTTAAATTATTCCTTACCTTTTCCCACATTTTTCCTCCTTGGACTGAAAATAGTGTAACCCCAGCTCATGTAAACACACCGCAGTCGTCTTCCCTTTAAATCTCAGTGACATATTACAGCTTGCTGACCTTCGGAGTCCCTTGTTAAGCCTTCCCTTTCAAAGGGGTCAGGGTCCCGATGTTGTAGTCAGAGCGGGAGATATTTAACATACCTTCTGTCAGCCCATCACTCTTGCGCTGGGAGTCCATAAGGAAGCCATTACCTTAGCATCTCTTCTTCAGAATCCAGTCGGTCGGAGAGCTCAGCGGGGCAGGAGCTTTTATTCATTGAATTGCACCTCTATGACTCTATGAAGTCCATACCGCTAACCTCCCGACTCGAGAGTCGATCTGTACATTTGCTCTTAGTTTGTCCTGACAAAGGTGGCGTCCTCCAGATGCTGTGGTGCTCAGGATGCGTCCTGCTGTTTTGCTCTTCTCTTTTTGAAGATTTCAGATGACCTTTCCCTTGTTGCATTGAACATTTGGATTTTTTTCCCCCTCATATCTCTTTTATGCCGTCTGCCCGCTTTGTTGCCACTTGGATTTATTGCCGAGTGAAGCATCACATTGAGACTCAAGCTCCTGGTTTTCTCTCCCTCCTCCCCGTTAGACATATAATGTTACCAGAGCGCCAAGAGTTCTTGCCATTAGAAGCTCCCAGGGTAGAAACAGCCTGATATATCGATTGCCCAAAGAGGGGATGAAACCAGAGCCTGGGCCCAGAACGACTTTCAGACGTAGGAAAGTCTCTTTGGAGCCAAAGCCTTCATAACCGGCTCGCTGTAGGATCTGATTTAGAATGTTGCCCAA